TGAATTCATCCACGGCAGGCGCAGGAGATAACTATTCGATCACAGGTGTGAGCATATTGCCGCTCTGCTGGATTGAAGGCGCGTCAAACTGCGAAGATGTCTTGACCGCGCTAATTTAAATAATAATTATAAAAAATTAAAAAAATAATAATCTTAGGTCATTGCTGCGATTCAAAAACTCGGGTCGAGTTTAATTTTTTCCGAATAAAAAAAGGATGGATCGTTAAAAATATAGCGTCGAATTTTTGAAACATTCCCGAAACCTTTTTCGAAAACGGTGTGTAGCATTTAAAAAAGAACATTGATTAAAAATAAAACAAAAATTGCGATGCGCAACGTTCCATTTGCAGTTGAATACTATTCTTTTCCCCGTGCGCAGGTTTTAGAAGATCATTAATAAAAAATAAAACATAATTCTGATGGGCAACGTTGCAATAATTGCCTTTCTTTTCGCGTGGAGCCGCCGATATTTGAATTCATCCACGGCAGGCGCAGGAGATAACTATTCGACCACGGGTGTAGGCATATTGCCGCTCCGCTGGATTGAAGGCGCGTCAAACTACGAAGTTGTCTTGACCGCACTACCCCGACCCTGGCTGGCGCGACGCTAAAATCGCCGCAATACTTGGACCAATCGACGTTATTCTTAATTCTCTTCCACATTTTGGACAAAATTTTAAGTAAAGTGCTTATCTTAATAGATACGATTCAGAAAAACGGGTCGTGTTTAATTATTTCCGTCACGGAAAAAATGAAATTGCTGATTTAACAATTGTGTAGTAAAAAACAGTGACAGCAATATTTCAATGTAGGTTGTGTAATGAAAAAAAAAATAATTTAACCACGCTCGTGGTTGAATTAGTTTTCCACTATTGTAAAATGTACAGGTGAAATATTGCTGTCTTTTTTTTTTTTTTTTTTTTTTTTTTTTTTTTTTTTTTTTTTTTTTTTTTNCTCCGCTGGATTGAAGGCGCGTCATACTACAAAGATGTTCTGACCGCGCTACCCATACTGAGAAAGAACTCCAATAGTCAAACCCATTTTTGAAGGCAAAAAGAGACAACTTATTTCACTTATCCTTGAAACCTTCATCATTTTTCTTGACATTTCCATGTTTTCAACTGTCTTTTGATCGGCACGGAGTGTTACCATTCATCGCGTTTCCTGTCGCACGAATCATCTCTACCAAGTTTTAATTTTAGGACTAAGCATAGTAACGATTTTAAGACGGATGACTCCCGACGCTTTGGTGGTAATTGTTTCGGGAATTAGATCGCGCATCGAGGTCTCTAGACTGCGACAGAAGATCATCTGGACTGCATTTTGCAATTTGGAACTATATATTCTGGCTCTTCTGGAAAAACACGTATGTGCATAGGGAAACTAATGACACATACGTTGTTCTTAAACCGGGCTAGAATTTATAGTTCCGAATTGCAAAATGTATTCCATCTAATGTTGCATCTACATGTACTTAAAGTTATTACAAGAAGAAAGATGGCGGATCTTGTATCGCGGTCTCTAGGCGCGTTAACTTTTTCGGCGCGGACTCGACCCACGCTGCACAGGGTCGCGAACTACGGCGAGAAACGGCGAGGAAGGTGCGAGTGTGTCAGGCCCGCCGCGCTCGCTCGGCCTTTGCGCAGGTCGCTTCGGGACTTCCGCGGTGGCGGCGGCGCGAAACTGCCGCGTCGTCCTCGTCGCTGCGAGACCCGACCACGTGGTGCACCGCGACCCGGGCCCGGGCCTCCGTGTTTGATAACAGAGCCATCGGCGGCGCCCGGCGCCGGGACTTCCGGCGGGGGAGCAAGTCGAAAACCCGACCATCCTGACCTTCCGCCAACGGAGAACGCGGCGTCACTCCATTCGATTTTTGCAACCCCCCCNAATCTTGATGCCAATAATTCAGGACCATGCCCATTCCCTGATTTTAAGGAGCTCACTCCATAGCCCTATGATGTTGGGCGAGTTTGAACATGTCAAAATACGGAACTCTGAGGACACAAAAGGGCTGCCATTACGGTGTTCGAGACTCATCTTTGAGTTTTAGGCTGAGCCATCTGGCTCTTCAAGCTCGTTTTTTAGGGGCCATTGGAGATCTTTTAGGAGCCGAATTGACTTTTTGCCAAAATATCACGGCGCATTCAGTTTTTTTTTTTTTTTTTAAATTACCTAGCACAAGTAAATTAACAATGCACGATTAAAACACTTATAGATGTATTAAATGTCTTTAAAAGCTTATCTAAACTGCAAGTGGAACTTAGCTATAATACACAACTTTAACATTAAATTGGCGCATTCAGTGAAAAGTTAGACGCAGGGTGTTTTCGTTACAGAACAAATAGTCGTAACTTGGGAGAAATTTTGAAAAATCACCAGACAGAAAAGTTAGGATTTTTTTTTCTGGAGGAGGAAAGGGGGGGGGGCGACAATTTTTAGGGGTCACGTTGGCGCAGAGCCTTCATTTTTAAGGCGCATTGGGCGCCTGTGAGTTACGAACATCGGCAGCCAATCTTCTAATAGAAAAAAGTGTTCCTGCCAATCTTCAGACTCCAACATGAAACCAAGGTAGCCGAAAAAGTTCGTTAATGAGCGTTTTTCCGCAAAAATTAGTAAATTTGTAGAGTAAATTCGCCCCTGCTCAAAAAGCCGCTAATAATCCAAGACACTCTCAGAAATCGTTCGGATGCTAAAAAAAAGCCGAATTTGATTTTCCAATGAATAAAATTCTGTGATAAAAAAGGGTCTTTTTCACTATCATACTAGGCTAGTTTTGGGCAAGACGACCGTGAGTGCAATCTTCAAGATGCTTTCGCGACTGCGTTTTGGACACACAACGAACAAATTTTGAGGTCGGGAATTAGCAGAAAAAGGCGCCCTGTCACCTAAAAGTACTGTCCTCATGGGTTCTCGGGCGGAATAATGCTACTAACGGCTGCTTTGTCTGAAACAACGTCAATTTTTCCTCCCGGACGGTTTTCTCATGTGGATTGCACTTTGCAATAAGCACTATCTCTGGCTCTTTCATAAAAACACATATCTCGTTTCGGAAAAATTTAAGAGATACGGCTCTTTCCGCTATTAGGACATGGCGGCTGTCCGGGCTATGAGAAAAGAAAAACTTCGGGGATACGGCTGTCTATGCTATCAGGGCAGCGACGCAGTCCGCACTACGAGTAAAGAAGGGGGGGGGGGGTCGGCGCGCGCTAGATCCCCCGGGTCTTCCCGGTCCGAACAGGTGCTTCCGTCCAGCGGCGCGGCGACCCTGACCTCCTCTGACCCCACCTGATAGGGACAGGCGAGGGGGGTGTTACTCCCAGCGCTGGGGGCTCCTACCCGCCAAAATGTTCGCAACCGCTACACCCTTTGAAACCCTTCCGCCCTTCAACCCTTCTCCCTATCCTTGTACCCGCCGCGTCTCGTACGGCTGCCCTTCCTTCCCGGGTGTAAGAGAAGTCCTGCACTGCCATGCTGAAGAAAAACGCCGTATGAGGCTTCAGGCGTTGCCAAATTTCCCCTTGCAAATCACTAATTTTCAGGAAAATTTTTGAATATTGGCCCACCAATTTCTCAGATAATTTTGTTTGTAATTTGATCTGAAACGTCTAAAAATTTCGAGGAAAAAGGGACCGAGTTTAATAGAAAGGAACCAAGCCACATCAGCTATTGCCGAGTTTAACTGGGGAATTAAATTTTTTACGAGAGAACGGTTGTTCGGATTTCCTTGAAAATTTCAAGGAATTTGCTTCGCATCGTGGAGGATTTTCACTGAAATTTGCACGAAAATCCGCATAGCCGTTTTCATGTAAAAAATTAAATTGCCCAATTAAATTTGGCAATAGCTGATGTGGCTTGGTTCCTTTCCGTTTAACGCGGTCCAAATATTCATAAATTTCCTCAAAAATAGACATTTTATCCAAGGAAATGTGGCAATTCTCGAATGTTCATACGGCGTCCTTCCTTAGCAGGGCAGAGCACTATTTAGGTAAATCTTCCGGGGTAAATCGATGGCCCAAGTGCAAAACCACATATCTTCATCGCGAAGTTTCAAAAATTCCTCTTCAAATTCATTTTTTCCAAAGGAACAAGCCAACTTTTCAGTTTGAAATTTATTTCAGAATATTCTGCCGACTGAGAAAAAGTTGAGGAAGTTTTGAGAAAGTACGTTGACTGGTTTTCCGAAGAAAAAATGAAGAAGGACAGGAAGTCTGCTGAGTTATATTTGGAGATAAGTGGGTTCGCACTTCGGCCAGTCGAGACGGACAGAATTTAACAATGAGGAACCAAGTCACATTTTGGGGAGAGAGAATGAGTTGAAAGTGGATTTGAGCTCACACGGCCATATGTGTTCCCGGTCAAAATTTGGATAAGATTTTTAGTTGAAGAACCTTGACTCCTTCATAATGAAACTGTTACATTTGTAGGTATAGTCCACGCCACGAAAAATGGCGGGTGAGGGGCGGAGCCAGTCGGCCGGTCCAGTCTATAGTTGAAGGGTTGAAGCGCAGGTATTACCCTGTATACCTGCGCTTCAACCCTTCAACTATAGACTGGACCGGCCGACTGGCTCCGCCCCTCACCCGCCAGGCGTGGACTATAGACCGAAAACCGATGGGACACCCATACTCTACATTCTATTCTAACTAAAATGTGTATTTGGAACTTTTAAGTAAGTCTTGTGTGTAAACGTAGTGACATTCAGAAAGTTTAGGCATGAAAAGTAAAAGGGAGCTGGTTTGAAACATGCTTTTACTAAAGTATGTATAATTTAGGACGCGTTTCAATGGCTACCTTGGCCACCATCATTAACTGACTCATGACACTTTCTAATCTTAATTACACAACCGAAGTCCCTCAGACTGTCTTAATTCCATTAGTTGCTTGGACACATCAGTTTTTGGAGTTCCTATTGGTGCACAGCGTTTACCGAAGCGGCATTTTCTGTTTGTTTAAAAAATTGATTCAGTGCTAAGTGAAATAAAAGAAGGTACTTCGCTTACCTTAACCCATCCTCCATTAGACGTGACCAAATTGTACAGAAGGAAAAGATCAATTTCTTTGCCATTAATCTTAGGGGTTCTCCGAAACGCAGTCCTGAAAACAAAAGAATAGAAAATGATGAGCTAGACAGTCAGGTAATTTGAGACTACTTAAGAAAAGAACTGCCTACTATGAACATACAACTCCTGATGAATGCGAGTTTCATTTTTTTTTCTGACCTCCCGTAGTAAGTGTTAGAATGATGTTGAGTTCAAAATCAACTAATCTAGGAGGTTTTCAATAACATATAATTATGGGACCAAGATTATGACTTAAATAATATGAAAAATGTTACTTAATGAGCTAAGAAATTGGACTGTGAAACTGCAAAAACAAAGATCCTAATTGCAATATTGCAAAAATCCCACTCCGTCTATGTGCCCGTTTAAGTATGTGAGAATAATACTTGATATTCTTACACTACATTATCAAAGAATATTCTTGGAAAGGCAAAGAAAATGCATAAAATTATAAGAGCTGCTTCATTAAAAGGAATTTGGCTTATAAAATAGGTTAGGACAATTAGGGAAGGTAGGCTGGAATTGAATGGGATTAGCTCTTGAGGGCTATTTGAAGTAAAAAAAAAAAAAAAATTACAAAGCGACAGAATTCTACAACAAAGGAATATGTAGCAGTGGTAACTTTTTGACCAGTCTTATCAACCAAAGAGTGATGACAATGCGCATAAATATTACACAGCCAGAATATATGAAAATGGTATAATGAGTAACTTTACTTAACTTATAAAAGAGCCTAATTACCAAAACTCAGCGTTTTTGTCAGCGTACTTTCATTACACTGAAGTGCTGAGTAAGACGATTCATGAAACAGTTCAGTCTCTCTTCATGCAAAGCTTTTTAACAAATAACACCTTGGGTAGGGTTTAGCTTGAACTTTCAGATGAGGTTTGAATGTAAAATGATGGAGATCTCAGAAATTCAATAAAAATAAAAATGTAACCCCCCGCACGAGGCATGGACAACAAACTTCATGAGACTTTTATTTGATGCTTAGTAAACCTAACTTTACTTAAGGTCTTTCTCAATGAGGTGACATTTACGTTTAGTACACTGTTTTAATTTCCCAGCACTGAGTACAAAATCTTTCGATAGTGAGTATAGACACCACTGGATTCCTTAAATAGAGACTATCCATTGATCTACGAATCCTGATGGTAGAATCAGGTGTGTGCATTATTTCTTCAGTTTTGACAGAAATTGATGAGATTTTAAGAAATATTCTGCACTGAACTAATTCTGATTTTCTTATTTGATCAATTTTTCTCAGTGCACACTAACTTACTGACTTGAGAGCAGCGATTTCAACGCTAGCGTCAATGGAATCAATTACTAGGCAAATATGAACTTATAGTCCAAAGCAAGATCCACAACATTGTACCTTGGAAGTATCTTAACTGGATTGCGTAATTCATGATACAGGCTTAGTTATGAAATTACGATTCATGCTGGAATTCTACCGGAAAGCTCGCAAAATCACGGATGGGTGGGAATAACAGGTACGACAGTCCAGTCAGAAAAACACAACATCTAACTTAAAAACCTATCTAGGAAACATTCCTCCAGGATATACTTTCCTGAAGAGATTATGATCAAAGCTAGGTAAAAATGCTAGATAATATCGGATTATTTAATCGGGAAACTCAATTTGGATAAATGATACCGCCCATGAATTGTAGGTATAACTTCGGAAGGGTAGAGGGGGCTCAAATGAACATCCAATTTATCCAATTTTGTCCCAATAAATAAAATATATGAAGTGAACTGAGCTTAGAATAAATTAAACTTCAAGGCCATCATAAACTATGAAGCAGCAATCACCTTATCCGAGACAGACATGGCTGGTAACCTAGTTGTGAATTTCTGCGGAAAGCGAATAAGGCCTAAGATCATTGAGACTTATTCTAGTTCATGGAATGAATTTGAATGGTGAAGCACGTAATTCTGATGATCATATCAAGAGAAACATGCTCAATAGCTAATTTCAACTGGTATTTGGTTCAATGACATGTTCATGATGGAACCTGAGACTCCATGATTGAAGTTCCATGATAGAAGTTTAGGATGCTAAATAAGAGTGAACATGAAGGCAAAATGGATTTAAATTCTTTCAGAATCGGGAGAGCGACCGAGAGACACGAAAAAACGAAAAGGTGACGCAGATTGAAGGCATTCCATTGACGGATCATTTCACACACGGAGAAGTGAAAGCTACGTGCAGATAATGGATGGAAGGGGTAGCCGTTGTATACAAACTTACGAGGACACTAAAACAAAGCATTCGTTCCCAACGCGGGGCGCTACGATATTGAATCGGGGTATTCTCCGTCTGACAGGATAATTTCTCACAATTGAGATGAAACTTACCCTCGAGTATCGTGAAACTGAACCAAATCGCGAAGGAAACTCTCCTTCTCGCGACGGTAGGTGTCCGGGTCCTTCCGAAGTATATGGGCCATGGTAGAAACTCCGCGATAGATTAAGCGAACTTCCGAGTCATATTCCGTGAAAATATATTCAAATTGAGCGAGCTACGAAGCTCGAAAGTACATAAAACACGATCGACGCGATTATATTTAACGAACAACTTGCACAGGCCGCGGTAAGGGATCAAATTGCAAACAAGTAGGTTGTCGCGTTTAGCCTACTCCCAAAGCATTCACCGTGAAAAGCACCATAATATCCGGGCACTTCACCACTCGATTAGGAAAAACACCATAACAGAAAGCACTGAAAACGCTAAAATGAACCGAATTCCGAAAAACACGAAATAACACGAGACATGATTGAAATTCGACGGGCAAACGTATGCCACCAAGCAGTTTATTAACACAGTAGGCAAGATGGCGGCAGCGGACCAAACTCTCGGATTTATGTAACGGCCACACGAGAAACACAGACGTTGCGTAGATATAAACACTTAAATCCGTAGCTGGGATGATGCGAAGCACTAATTGCACAAAGAATTGACCATAAAACTAATCCCGAAAAACTTTAAAATTGGAAAACAGCGGAAAAAGAAAACTGCCCGTAACCTTAGTCATTCGGACGGTCGGCATCACTGGTTTCCAGAGTTCGCCACCGGCCGCGCCACCAGTCTCGGTTCGTTGTACAGATTTTTAACGGACCGAGAGAGCAGCACTTTACGTTAATGCTGTGTAATGCGCATGACCGTGTTTCCGAGTCCGTAAGTCGATTCCCTAGTATGTGCATTTACATAAATGTTGAGCTTTTGTGTCGCGGGATGTACCCTCATCATGCGATGCCGATTGATGAAAAAGTATCCGAGTAAAATTTTCGATTTAGAGGGAGCTTTTTGCTACGCCCAAGTAATGTAAAACCTTATTTAGGGCCCGCCTCGGGGGAGGGGGGTGAGGGGTAAGGGAGTTGCAGTGGCTGGAGGTGAATTTCGGGTGTCGGAAAGTCACTTTAACGAGACGACAGAAAATCCCTCTATATCGTCCACCATCATCATTAATTTAAAAAAAAAAAAAAAAAAATTTAAACCCAATCTACGTAAGTCTCGACCGCCTGAGGTAATTTTTTTTTTATGTCGTCTTCCACGCTCATAAGTATGTGATTAAAACTCTGATATCAAAACTTACGTATGAAATGTAGTTATGGTGCAAAGTTTCAATTTTCGTTGCTTCTTGAGAATGAGAGTGTTATGTGACTTAGGTATGTGCTACACCTTTAGGCAAAAATCTTCACCCCTTCACCCCCCAAAATAATTCTCCCCCTTCCTATCAGCTCATTCCTATTTTGGGAGGATGACAAATTAGGGTACAGCTCAATCGTTGGCCAGATTTCTCTCTGACTCAAGCTTCTTGCAAAAATAGAAACGGGAAATTAATGCAAAGGGCCGTGGTAGAAATTGTAAAATGGTGAGGGGTGTTTTTCTTCTTCTTCTTCTTTTCTTTAAAGCTTCAACGTCTTGCATCCACTTGCAAAGGATGATAAAGTTTCCGTTCATAAAAATTAAGTACCTAAAGTCGACAGGGTCGGACTGGCTCGCATCTGAGGGCGTAGACCCTTGGCTGCTTAAAGGGGCGTAATGTGATATTTCCTGGTAGGGCATTCCCTACGTGAAGAGGGGTACAGAAAATTTTGGCAAATCAGCAAGTTTACGCTATTTTCAGGTTGAAAGTTTATTGAACGCACGGAGTAAAAATTGCAAAATTGAACGTGAAGCACAGCGTTGAGAGCTCACGCTTCGCGTCATCGCGCCTTCAATTTTTCAGACGCAGCACGGACGTCCATCAAGTACGAATAGTTGTATCTCTGCCGTCGTGAACACGCATCCTTTCCCTCCCTTTTTTTCCATATTGTGTTTGTTTCCGTTTGTCTTGTTCGTAATGGTGCTTCAAGCACTACGTGAGTAATACAACCGAAGGTAGGAGAGATGTCTTCAGGTCTTTTTTAAACTTTTCTCCCGAATCAGAGCGACGCTTCATTGACAGCATAAAGCGCATTGAGAGCTCTCACTTCGCGTCATAGCGCCTTCAATTTTTCAGATGCTGCACAGACGTCCATCAAGTACGAATAGTTGTATCTGTGCGCCGTCGTTAACGCGCATCCTTTCCCTCGCTTTATTTCCATATTGTGTTTGTTTGCGTTTGTCTTATTTGTAATGTTGCTTCAAACTAGAGCAGAGCATTGCAAGTTCATGACTCACGGCATCGCGTCTTTCATTTTTCATATGCAATGTGGACATCCATCTTGCGCGAATAGTTGTATTGCGTTTACATTTTAGATGTCTCAAATTTTTGAATTTCGAGATAAATTAAGGTTAAGTTTGCCCTAGCTATGCTATGGTATGTCCAAATCAATAGTCATTTGAAAAGGAGGAAATATGTTTGAAGGTCTCTTAAGAGGTCTATAAAGGATGCGTATGTCTAAAAATCGAACCGACCATCGCCTCTAAGGGAGTTACACATAGCGAATGAAGGAGGGGGATGATCAAGCGCCTGTATGTCAAGAAGAAGGTGAAAATTTCACAGAAAATTTTTTACGCTTCAGAAAGTAGTTTTTGGACCTCTGTTCACCACTATCATGCGTTAAAGCACCTTTCTTTACTCCTAACTCTCTCTTCTTCCGTTTATTTAAGAAATTTTTCCCACATATTCTCAGTCGTAATTTTTTTTTCTTCTTATTTTGCTATCTGTAAGAGGGGCGCGTTTTCGGCGCGCAAAGGGGGCGTATCCGCCAATGGCAGATTGGCCTCATGGCCAGTCCGAGCCTGAAAGTCGAATATTCAAGCTGAAAATGGGCGACATCGTCCGTTTTCCAACAGACAAAGTAATTTCATTAATTATAAATTTTTCTCATTCAATTTCTAAAAAATAATCTCAAATAGTCAGATAGACAGAGCCCGTATTCCTTTTAAACGGGCTTCTATTGTTGTGCCCCTCCACTCTCCATCATTGAATACCGAACATTGTGCGCCTCCCGTGAATTTCGGGCACCCACTCTCAATAANCTATTTTCAGGTTGAAAGTTTATTGAACGCACGGAGTAAAAATTGCAAAATTGAACGTGAAGCACAGCGTTGAGAGCTCACGCTTCGCGTCATCGCGCCTTCAATTTTTCAGACGCAGCACGGACGTCCATCAAGTACGAATAGTTGTATCTCTGCCGTCGTGAACACGCATCCTTTCCCTCCCTTTTTTTCCATATTGTGTTTGTTTCCGTTTGTCTTGTTCGTAATGGTGCTTCAAGCACTACGTGAGTAATACAACCGAAGGTAGGAGAGATGTCTTCAGGTCTTTTTTAAACTTTTCTCCCGAATCAGAGCGACGCTTCATTGACAGCATAAAGCAGAGCATTGAGAGCTCTCTCTTCGCGTCATAGCGCCTTCAATTTTTCAGATGCTGCACAGACGTCCATCAAGTACGAATAGTTGTATCTCTGCGCCGTCGTTAACGCGCATCCTTTCCCTCGCTTTATTTCCATATTGTGTTTGTTTGCGTTTGTCTTATTTGTAATGTTGCTTCAAACTAGAGCAGAGCATTGCAAGTTCATGACTCACTTCACGTTCATGAGACTTCTTGAGAGGACGAGGGATTTGGACATAGCCCGGGGGCCTTGAGACAGGCCCCCAGAAAAGTTATCCCCACGTATGTAGCCGCTTAATATGATTGGGCCCAAGACCGGTCATATTCACGGTTTATGTACCACTGTACCATTGGATTTACCATTAGGCTATCGCGTGACGGAGCAACATCCTAAGGGGCGCTACATTTTTAAGACGTTATTACAAAATGTCAGTACCTGGGTATTAAAATTTATTCTTTGTGTCTTTCATCATTTTTTACATTCCAAATTCAAATTCTTCCAGAGTCATATTTTCGAAATTGGTACCTAAAAAATGCTTAAAATTATGTTTTGTTAAAAAACTGATTTGTAATATTTTCCCCGTGATCCAACCCGCCTAAAATCTTATTTTTCTGGGGAGGAAGGAGGAAGAGTGAGACTCCTGCCCTCCTCCCTGAGAGGGCTTTTTTAGGGCACTAACCAAAGTTCAATCTGAGAAATGTCCAAAAAAATGTCAATCAGGTCATGAAAGCACTGCGAATGAAATAGTTTCATGTCCTCCTTCTATAGAGCCGAATGAACATGCACAAACTGGTACAAGCAACTATCACTGCTTAAAAGACGCTCACATTGCCTATCAAGTTTTTGAAGGCACACTTGTGAGTATGAGCTCAAAACACTATACTGTGGCCACAAAATGAATCTATCTACCTGTGTGTGGGTATAGAGTAATTTCATGTGCTTTTGGGGTTGGAACGCGATGAGAATATACTTTCAAGAAACAGTTCAAGTAACAGTAATTTATTGTAGCTGTAGTTCCCAAAACGGTAACATTGCCAGTCAAATATTTGACGGCGAACTGATCAAAGTAAGCGTAAAGCACTGTGAATAAAGTTTGTTCATGTGCTTTTCCTGCTTGAACCGAATGAGCTTGCTCAAACTGGTACATGCTGCAGTCAACTATTACTGCTCCTAGGGCGCTCGAATTGCATGTCAATTTCTTTAAGGCAAACTGGTCAGAGTACCTAAGCTCTCAATCATATGGTCAGCACCATGAGTAAAGTGACTTCATGGCCGAGGGTTGTAAAAGTGAATTGCCGCCGTGAAAGGCATCGCGCAATTGCTGAAATATGGCATCAGTAACAGTGACGGATTCCTTCGGAATTTGATTACGACTGATTGTTACGTCGCGTCGCCTGATTTCCTCTCATCGTGTATTTCTTGGCCCAGGGACATGGGTAGAACTAAATAGAAGCAAGGACGGCATGCAGAATTTCATTTTCTCTCAGGAGTCGAAGGGATTTTTCGAAATATCCTCATGACATTTCTTTCATCCCTAAAATATTGTATCAATTAAGTCGTTTTGAAATATCTTTGTATACTTTTGACGTAATTCTGCTGCAGTTGGCACCTGAATGTTCACGTTGGAATCGAGACAAACTTTTTTGATCGACACTAAAATCTATCCAGGCTCCCTCAAATGGGATTCAGTTGGGTGATGGAAAACTATGCTACCCTCTGTGGCAAAAGCGCCGTAACTCCAAAATTACAAATTTTAAATTTTTCATCCACACATACTACTCTATTCCAAAAGAAGCCAATGTCCACAAGCAGATCCGGATTACGGGGGTGGCCACATGGGCCGCGGCCCATGGCGGCAAATCAAGGGGGCGGCAAATTTTGCAATTTTTTAAAAAAAATCGAATTTTGACAAAAAATTACAAACAATTACAGAAAAGGTGACAAAATCTCTCATTGCCTGAGAGTACAGTAATTTCTAATTTTGTCGTCTTTCAGTGAAACATGAGATAGCACCTTTAATTAGTCGAGTTACGAGAGAAACCAAACACGCCATTTGGCCTGAAACGGCGCGACTTAGGGAGAAATGATGACGAGGACTTGAGATGAAAAGGAGAAGCCCTCGGCGCTGCGGTCGGCGTGTAATACATAGTAGCGCCTACAAGACTGCACGAATACTTTACGCATTGCATCAAACACAGTGCGGTCACTGCGGTCAGCGTGAAACGGATAGC